ACCTCGTGAAGAAACTGCGCATCTATGTCTAATGGACAAAACTGATGAAAAGGCCAAACTAAAGGAACTTGAGGCTGAGGTATAGTTTTCTAAAAATGAATTAAGACATTTTTTAAAAGAGAAACTAATATGTGCTGTTTTAGATATTCAAGAGGAACTTAAAGAATTACATAGAGCTAAATAGGAAAGTTACAAAGCTTTAACTACTTACAGAGAAAATAGTGAGAGGGTGGATAATATGAAGTTTAACATTCAATAAAGGTTATTTAGTCTTTTTGATGATGATATTATTTTATAAGAGACTATAGAAAGATTAAAACTAGATAACATACTTTTAAATGTGGAACTATCTTTGTTAAAAGTTAGTATTGATACTCCTAACTGTGAAGTTCCTCCTCTTTCTCAATTTCCAAATTTTGAAAAACTGAAATCAGATTTGGAGAATGAAAGAATGGAGAAAGGTAGACTTGAGAGGGAACTTGAGAAGGTTAGAAAAGGTAAACAACCCATAGAGTATAGAGTTCACTTCCTGACTGGATAACTAATGCTCAAACTAAAAGAATAGAGGGTTTAGGTTTTATAAGGAAATTCTAGAAGGAAAAGAAGTATGTTAATTTGCTTATAAGTATTGTTTGTTACTTCTGTGGTAATACAGGACATAAGTAGGTTAAATGTCCTAAGAAAGAAAAGAGTACACAGAAGAATGAAAATTTCGTAGAACAGATTTGGGTTATGAAAAATAATCCCACTCCAGCGACATATGAACCTAAGGAAACCTGGGTTCCTGACACTAACGTTTGATTCTTCATGCAGGTTCCAGTAAGGGGGAACAACACTTGGTACCTCGACAATGGTTGTTCTAAGCACATGACTGGAGACAAATCTAGATTTCTCACACTAGAAGCCTATTATGGTGGGACTGTGACCTTTAGTGACAATATGAAAGGCGATATAGTTGATATTGGTAAAGTAGGAAGGTCAAGTTCCCATGCTATTGATAATGTATTTCTAGTCGAGGGTCTCAAACACAACTTGTTAAGTATTTCACAATTTTGTGACAAAGGTAACTCTATTAGCTTTACTTCTAATAAGTGCAAAATCATCCACAATAACACTGGGAACATAATCTTAGAAGGAACTCGTAAAGGGAACACATATGTTGTGGATCTTAATGAGGTTCCTAATAACAGTTTGACATGTCTTAGTGTTATTGAGGATGATCCTCTATCATGGAAAAACAGATTTGGTCATGCAGTTTTTACTCTACTTGATAAACTTAGATCAAAGGAATTAGTGGAAGGACTTCCTTGCATTAAGTTCACATATGACAAAGTATGTGATGCTTGTGTTAGAGGAAAACAGAATCAAATTTCTTTTAAATCTAAAAAGATGGTAAGTATCAAAAGACCTTTGGAACTTATTCATATGGATCTCTGTGGTCTAATGAGGATCTAAAGTAGAAGTGGTAAGAAATATGTTATGGTTATTGTTAATGACTATTCAAGGTATAGTTTGGTATTATTTCTTGTTAGCAAAAATGAAACGTTTGGTGAGTTTGTTGCCTTTGTGAAGAAACAAAAAACAAGAATAGGTAACCCACTGGTATATCTCAAACCAGACCATGGTACTGAATTTGAAAACTCCATGTTTGATGAATTCTATATAGAACATGGAATGGATCACAACTTCTCTACACCTAGAACTCCACAGCAAAATGTTATTGTGGAACGCAAGAATACAAGCCTTGAACACATGGAAAGAACTATACTTATTTCAAGTAGATTGCCTAGGAACTTCTAGACAGAAGCAGTGAACATAGCATGCTATATTCTCAACAGAGTATCTGTTAGAGCCATCACCAACAAAACTCCCTATGAATTTATTGAAGGGAGAAACCCCAATATTTCTTATCTTAGATCTTTTGGTTGTAAGTGTTTTGTTCATAATAATGGTAAAAGGAACTTGGGAAAGTATGATGAAGGGAGTGATGAGGAAGTTTTCCTAGGATATATCTAAAATAGTAAAGCTTATAGAGTTAATAATAAGAGAAAAATGTGTGTTGAGGAATCTATGCATGTGATATTTGATGAAACTGAACAATTTATTGATGTACAGGATTGTGATGATGATTTTGAATGAAATTGGACTTGTACGCAAGCAAGATCCAAATGAGGAATCAACATCATTACAGAAGCAGCTGGTTGAAAATGAAGCAAATATAGAAGCAAATGAAGCACCTACATTGGACAATGCAAAAGGAACTCCACAAAACCCTGAACAGAATGAAGCAAATGAGGAAGTTCCTGAAGAAGTTCAAACTGAGAATCAACTTGAAGTTCCTACTGAAGAACCAGCCAACAACAATGAAGAAAGATTGTATCCAATTAAATTCTTCACACCAAAACCTTAGAAACATTAGAAGTCACATCCAGTGGATGCAATCATGAGCGATATCATAAAAGGAACTCAGACCAGATCTTAGCTTAGGAACTTCTGTGCATTCTATACGTTCCTTTCATCGATGGAACCTAAGAACTAAGTTGAAGCTTTAACTGACGCTGAATGGACTAATGCTATGCAAGCTGAACTTAATGAGTTTGAAAGAAACAAAGTTTGGCATCTGGAACCTAAACCTAACAAGAAGAAGACAATCGGTTTAAAATGGGTGTTTAGGAACAAGCTGGATGAGCATGGTATTATTGTTAGGAACAAAGCTAGACTTGTTGTACAAGGGTTCAATCAACAAGAAGGAATTGATTATGAAGAAACATTTGCTCCTGTAGCCAGGTTAAAGGCTATACGCTTACTTATTGCTTTTGCTGCTTATATGGGATTTAGGCTTCACCAGATGGATGTTAAATGAGCATTTTTAAATGGATTTCTTGATGAGGAAGTCTATGTGGAACAGCCTTCTGGATTTGAGAATCCACAGTTCCCAAACCACGTCTATAAGCTTAACAAAGCTCTTTATGGGTTGAAGCAATTTTCTAGAGCATGGTATGAGAGATTATCTAAGTTCCTATTGAAACATTGTTTTAAATGTGGTAAAATTGATAAAACATTGTTTTTAAAATCAAATGGAACTGATATATTAGTTGTACAGATTTATGTTGATGATATTCTATTTGGTGCAACTAATTTAATGAACCTTTGTGCAAGTATTTTGCTGACTTAATGAGTGGAGAATTTGAAAGGAGTATGATGGGAGAGTTAAACTTATTCCTCGGTTTGCAAATCAAACAAACAGAAGAAGGAATCATGATCCATCAACAAAAATATATTAAAGAACTGATCAAGAAATACAAGATGGACAATGCAAAAACCAATAAGACTCCTATGGGTATTGGAACTAGGTTGGATGAAAATCCAACTGGAACTTGCATAGATCAAACAATGTATTGAGGTATGATTGACTCTCTACTTTCCTTTCAAGTAGACCTGACATATCTTTTAGTGTAGGTCTATGTGCCAGGTTCCAAGCAAATCCAAAGGAATCCAACCTGATACCAATAAAGAAAGTCCTTCAATACTTGAAAGGAACTGATTACTTTAGTCTCTTCTATCCTAGAAGTGATTCTTTCGAGTTAAATGGCTTTATTGATGCTGACTATGTGGGTGATTTGGTTAATAGAAAAAGTACTTCAAGTACGGTACAGTTTTTAAGACCTAGCTTAGTTTCTTGGGGTTCCAAGAAGCAAAACACAGTTGCATTATCTACAGCTGAAGCTAAGTATGTGGCAGCAGCAACATGTTTCTCACAAGTTCTATGGATAAAGCAACAGGTTAGAGATTTTGGAATTATATTTGAATGTGTTCCAATTTACTGTGATAATACCAGTGCTATATGTATTTCTAAAGATCCGATCCAACACTCAAAGCCAAAACACATCCACATTAGGCATCACTTCCTAAAAGACAATATGGAGCAAGGGAATATTAAGTTAGAATTTTGTCAAACAGAAAATCAAATTACAGATATTCTAAAAAAGCCTTGAAAGAGAAAGGTTTAAGAAATTGAGACTAGAACTTGGGATGATCAAGCAGAATTGATTGCGTCTGAAGTTCCAAGATATGGCAAAGTCAAAAATAATTTAAATAGAGCAAAAAGAGCATTTAGCACAATCATGGTGTGATAAACATATATGAAGTGTCACCGTTGTTGATTACTAGAGGTTAGTTCACTGTACAATTAATTTCATAAGTAATTAGTAATTTACATTGCATGTGTGTAGTAAGCGTGTTCTATAAATTACATGTTTTATTTTCAGAAAATATTTTTGAAAATTAAATGAATTTAGAAAGAAAAAGATTTTCTGTAAAACATCCAGTTTAAATGAATTTGGAAAATAAATTGAACCTTCCTAAAAATTTGCCCACTGTGAAAAATTTGTACAACCTTCCTAAAACCCTCGAGAGATAACCATGGCCATCATTACTTCCATTAGCTCTTCTGAAAAATCTCAATACACTCATCACTCTGAATAGGAAGAGGTCTCTTCACTTCCGTTAGTAGCCTTTAAAGAAACACAAGCCAAACCCACCTCATCCTCTAACTTAAAAACCCTAAGCCCGCAGAAACAGAAGACTTAACCTCTGAGTCAATTCTTCAAAACACTACCACAAAATAAGGAATAGAGAACGCCTAAAACAGGGAATAGAGAACGCCACTAAGGCGCTCTTTTGAGGGGGTGCCCTATAACATTTATAGAATGCCTCCAATAGGCGTTCTATATCAAATAGAATATAGAGCGCCTATCTATGATAAAAGCTTTGTATTTTGTGTATAAAATAAATACTAAACAAAGAAATACAAAGCTGTGATCTTGTGGTAGGCGATCTGTAGCTACATATAAAGAGAGTGCCTATCTTAGATAACCATTCTCTTTTCTCTATTTTTTTTTTTAAAAATGTAATAATTATAATAATTATTATTATTGTTATTTTAAATAACAATAATAATAATAGTAGTACCTAAGAAAAAATCAAGGAGATTACGCACAAAGCCCAAAGTATTGTTTATTGCTATAACTTTCATTGATAAACAAATCTGAGTACATTGTAAAAGTAACATGAATCTAAGATAAAAAAAACATATAACAAATGATAAGTAGTTTGAGCGTGACTGTTCGTCCTCTTTTCAAATCTGCATCAAAAGAGAAAAAAAACAACAATTATCAAGAAATTTTAAATTAAAAAACGAAGCATATTGATTTTGGAATAAGTAACTTCTACATAATTAAAAAAAAAAAAGGCCAAATTTAAAGTAATTGTGAAACATGAAAAAAAAAACAATAATGAAATGAAAAGCAGAAGTTTCTAATATAATTGATAAGAGATGAAGATTAAAATCATGACATGAAAATCAGAAATTATAAAATATGAAAATCAATTGACAAAAGATTAAAAATCAGAAAATATAACATATAACTAAGCACCAAAAGATCTAAACTAATTGAGAAGTAAAACGAAATTTTAAAATGAAAATCAGAATTTTGAATTAGAATTAAATCGTGTACTATAGATTGATAATAATAATAAAATTAAAAAAAAAACAGGAAAAGCATATCATTCACTTTAAAACAACCAAAAAAACGAAATTAAACATTGAAATGTGAACACAAATGAGATTACACTTCATATACCTTTATGCATCTTTGGAATTTATAATCCATTTCACAGCAGCAACACTTCATTACAACGCATCCAAATCAAACGACGACGGTTTATCCGGCTAGATCTACGGCAGTGTTGCATTGGAGCATTACCGGTTCGTTGAAACTACTTGAATGCAATCGATTGAATTCATTTTTCGGCTCTAAACCCTCAACATTTCTTCGAACTAAAATTCTCAGATCTAGATTGAATGAAATCGAATTTAATTTTTGAAAATTTGAGGAAAATGATACAAATGACCATGCGTTGATCTTTATTGTAAAACCGAAAAACAAATTTACTTGCCTAATTATGATTTTTGTTTCATAAGGTAAGGTTTTAATTTTTTACTTTGAGAAGATGAGATGAAAGGTGAGAATGAGGAATGGTGATGAGAGGAGAGAAAGAAGAGAGAGAAAGAATAGGAGACGGGAGAGCGGCGTGTAGGTTGAGGAGTAGGTTTTTACGGAGTATTTCATAAGGTAAGATTTTTTTTACTTTTTTTTTAATTATGCTAAAATCTTATAGATCGGTCATCTAAGTAAGGCGATCTATATCTAAAGTCATATTTTTTATATTAAATTTATAGAATGGTTAACATGACAGGCACTCTATAGGTCTTAACATAAAAAGCTCTCATCTTAGGTAGGCGCTCTATAGAATGCTAGAGATCGCCTATCTAACTTGAGCGTTGTGTATTATGTGTTGCATTTTCTACATTTTGTGGTAGTGAAAATTGAAAGAGTGGAAAGAGATGAAAGAGAAGAGAAATAAAGTTGAATAACACATCAAGGAGTTGAGGATTTTGCTCAAAAATTAGAGGATTTCGAGAACGAAAATTCTAAGAAGGAGGACGATGAGAAAATCGCTGATCAAGCTGAACTTGAGTCATAAGCAGGGAGGTATGTTGTTCGTCATCGAATTGATTTATCTTGGTGTAGAAAAGCTAGGTTTCTAGAGTTTCTTGATTTGATTAAATTCCAAGGCTGGGAATATTTGTTGTCTAAGGCGTCTGACAATTACATGTATCTAATTGCTATGACCGAGTTTTGTCAAAATTTACAAGCAAAGTTGGGAGTAATTTCTAGTGAAATTGATGGTGTAAAAATAAAGTTTAATGTTAAAACCCTAGACAAAATTCTGAAAACTCCAATTGAGGGGTATGAGACTTACATTAAGGGTAAGTCAAGTGTTAAGGTAATAAATTACCTGAGTGGTGACATTATGGAAGCTTTAGGAGGAAAAAGGGGGAAGACTACAATGAGTCAAAATGACCTAAGCCCTATGAACAAGTTGTTGTTCAACCTCGTCAAGAAAACCATTCTACCTAGAACTGCAAAGAAAGGAGAAGCATGTCTGATGGACATGGCTGTGGTTTTCTGTCTGTCTAGGAAGATGAAGGCTAATTTTCCTTCACTTATGTACCAACATTTAGCACATTGTGTCCCTAAAAAGACTAAGGTGGGATATGGAGCTATTCTATCTACATTTTTTGAGAGTATTGGAGTGGTTTAGAAAGGGAATCATGGGGGCTAAGATGAGAAGCATGAAAATGTAATCAATGAAGAAACTCTGCAAGGAATCAGTTCGGAGGTGGTAAATGGGAAGATTCAGAAAATAGAGAAGGGAGAGGAAAAGAAAGAAAAAGGAACAGGAAAAAGAAAAGAGAAAGAAGAGGCTGAGCAGCATGTAAGAAAGAGTTGGAGGTTGTCAGCAAGTTCTTTTCCTCAAACCAGTATGAAGAAACCTCTTGAGTTGGATACTGATGAAAGGGCACTTGATAGGCAAGTTGCAGAGCTCACTGCGAGGTTGGTTTTGGCTGAAAAGCAATTGAAGGAAGTAGCTGGAAGGATTCAGAAGTTGGAGAAGTTTGTGTAGGGGCAAGACAAACTTCTGAAGGAACAGAAGCTGGATTTCCAGCAGAAGATCAAGAGTCTTAAGGATAGACTAGATGCTTTTGTTGCATAGCAGAGGGAAGACAGCAAACAGATTATGGAGTTCCTAAAGAATTAAACCAGCAAACCTGCCTTACCGGCCTTCCTAATTAGTCTAGCCTTTTCTTATTTTAAGTCATGAACAATTTCAGTTCAGTTTATGTTTTTGAACAATATATTTTGGTCTGTAATAATTTTTAACTAGCAGGATGTTAATCTTTTTGTTTTTAATGAATGCTTTTGGAACTTTTCCTATGCATACATGTTTATGTATATTATGAAAGCTTATGCAGGAAAGTGGAACTAACTTAAGGGAAGTTAGCAGCGTTGCCTTCAGTTTCCCACACTCGATGAATTGCTTGTGGGGCTGTGGCTGAAGTTGTTCTGGGTTCAAGTTGAGAAAGTATCAGAAATTTCTTCTGATATGATGCAAGTAGCTTAGTTTCATTTTCTGTTTTGTCTATTTTTTTTCTTGTTTTTTATTTTAAATTTGAGTTGTGTGTTAACTTTATGTCAATGAACAAACAAATCCGAAAATACTTCCTTCTATTGGTTTCAACTTTTCAATGGAGCTTGCTTAAGTTTGTCATCATAAAAAGGGGGAAATTGTTGAAGCTTAAAGGTTTGGAAAAATTGCTCCCATTAATCTGAACTTTGCCTCGTCCACCGAAAATAATCCCAACTTTCGTTTATTATCTATTGCACCGAACTTTGGGGGTATTAATTTTCGTTGCACCCAAATGACCTGCAACCGGTAAATCAAGTAAACATTTCTAATATTTTTTTTGCACACGTGTCAACATGTAATTGGTTGAAAAAAATAGAAAAAAAATAAAAAACCTAATTAAAAAAAAATACCCTAACAGCCACTCCCCTTAGACAGCCCAATTCCACCACCGCCACCACCTGTTCCCCCACCTCCGACAACCCTACCCAGGTCGCCGGTACCCCTGCCCACCAAAACAGACGAAACCCTTCCTTTCCTCTCCTCGAAAACCACCCCAGCTCCGCTCTACAGCTCCAACAACATCAGATTCGCGCCGAGAAACCCCCGCAACCACCATCGCCACTGCAGTCCGAATTCCCTCACCCTTAGCAACCGAAAACCTCCTCTAACACACCCCCATCCACCGAAAACCTCCTCTAACACACCCCCAGCCATCGAAAACCTCCTTCTAACACCACCCTAGCCAGCGAAAACCTCCTTCGACACACCCCATCCACCGAACTACTCCCCTCCTTTCCCCACTCAAAACCCGCATCCACAACCATATTTTTAGGGTCGAATTGCGAGATCGGGAAAGGAAGGGGTGGCTGGGCGGTATTCGGTAGCGGGGGAGGGGTTTTCATGGAAGGGGCTGTTTTTCCAGTGGGGTAGGGGGTGGGGGTGTGGTGTTTTCCGGGATAGGGTGGGGGCTGGGTATTTTTCCTTTTTTTTTATTTTTGTTTTCATTTTTATTTTTGTTTTATTTTTTGGACTTATCACGTGTTGACACGTGTCTAGGTAACCTGCTACATCAGGTTAGATGACCTGTTGGGTCCAACGAAAATTAATACCCCCCAAAGCTCGGTGCAATAGATAATAACCGAAAGTTGGGATTATTTTCGGCGGACGAGGCAAAGTTCTGATTAATGGGAGCAATTTTTCCTAAAGGTTTTGAGGATGATGAACTTAAACTAAAGCAAACTCAACTCATAAAGGTTTATTAGTGTTTGATTAGTACAGGTGAAGTAGACTTTGGTGGTAGAAGAGCAACCCAAGCTAAGAAGACATGAAGAGGCCTTTGAAGAAAAGTTATTCAAAATAGAAGAAAAGTTCTCTAACAAGAACTAAGTTCCTTAATAGGAATGTTCCCTAACAGGAACTTGAAGATAGCAAGCTGAAGACAATAAGTCTTGGAAAGAACTTAGTTTGCAAAGTTCCAGTTAAAATTGGAGCATAAGTGACAGCAGGAACTTGGTGTCCTTGTGTAGGGAATATTTCAAGCGTTAATCCCTAGCTTGAACCCCACTATGATTATACACTAAAGTACGGTGGCGTCCAAAGGGAAAGAAGATAGAGCAAAAGAGTCGCCAACAAGGTTTTTTTAGGAACTTGTAAACCGTTCACGAGGTGAAGGTTACACCCCTTAACGATCCAGGAGATCGTCAACTCCAATAGGTCTTGAAACATGACTGGTAGTTCGGGGATGAAGGTACAAATTCAACCTAAAAGAGATTGAACCTGCCCTAATAATAGGCCTCTACTTTATTTAGATCATATTCATGTGCGCTTTCTGACTAACATGCAATCAATAGGTTTAACCCTAAACCTGTTTATCTATGTTGGTTGAATATTAATGAACAAATAAAACTATTATTGGCGATCACTTGAATTATAATCAAATTAACCCTAAAAAAGATTATTAATATCTTATTAAGCATGATTACAAGTACAAATTCCCTTTAAACAAGCAATAACAATAAATATATATAATCAACATAATAAATAAAAATTATAATTAAAATAATCATGTTAAAGCATAATAATAGCAAGATCCAAGGCATGATACTAACAAAATTAATAACAAACCCCTAGCATGTCACTAAACAATAAAAATCAAAGCTTAAGCCCTAACATGATACTAACAATCATAAATACTAGAAAGAACATAAAAGGCATCATACTTTTAATCATACTTGATATTAAAGTTACCCTAGACATGATACTAGGAAGTAAAATAACAATCTAAGCATGATTTTTATATAATAACATCAATAAAAACCATTAAAGTACTTAATTAGATGCCTCGTACCTCTTTCTTATAACAAAATACACAAGTTAGTATCTTCAAGAAAAATAATAATTAAAACAATTAAATTAAATAATTGAAATAAGGATTTGGGACCAAACCCTCATAAATTAAAACTTTTCACGTCTAGGGCGAAGGCAACTTCGAATATGGCTAGGAGTATCTAAGTCTTGTGAATGCGGAATTTTGTATTTGAGAAAAGGCTAGTTTAGAAAAGAGAGAGAGAAAGTAATCAAGGAAATCTTGAGTAGAGTTGGTGAATGAAAACGGAGTTTTTAGAAGGCTATTTATAGAGAAAATCAGCCAAAAAAGATTAAAAAAAAAAGAGTTCTGACGCGCAAAACGAGGTTAGCGCCAGACGCTGACATTAGAGCCAGGGGCTAATGCTAGCGCCAGGCGCCGAGCTTAGCGTTGGGCGCTAATGTTGGCGTTTGGCGCTGACTAAAAAATTGAGGCATTTTCTAAAATCAGATAGAAATTTCCGTACAAGAGGATAAAATCGTATTTTCCTCAATACATTTTTTTATTCTGATTAAAACTCTAGAAAGTCAACAAAAGTCAATTTATCAATGCTAATTGAATTAGGAATGAAAAGAACCTTCTAGAAGAATCTAGAAGACTAAAACCATTCCTAATTGAATTAGGAATGATAAATCTATATTAGGCCCTCCTCTAGATCATTGGGCCGTATATAAGGCTCAAACCGGCCCAAATTTAGTAATTTGGTCATAACTTCCTCAATATTGATCGGAATTGGGCTTATAATATATCGTTGGAAAGCTCTTTTCAAACCCTATCCAACTACAATACTATTGGACCCATATTATGGACCAACCAAACCGGATTGACTGTTTTCTTAAAATAGGTTTTCAAAAACAGAGAGAGGAGAAAAGAAATTAAAACTATCCGCAACACTTAACTTTCCACACTTTCACTTCATTCGATTATGATTCGACGTGAAAGGTACTCATCACTGGGTTTGGTTTTGGGGAGACACAAATGGGTGTCTACAGAAGCCCCCACTTTGACTGAGTTTGGAGA